ATCCCTATGCCTATTGCAAACATAGATCCATTCTTATGCTTTTATTGCATTTTCATTACATTTTCACGCTCAAGTTTGTGATGAATTTAGGTTATTTTGGGGTATTGTTACTACGTTACAAAATTCAAGACACAGGTGTTATAAAGAGACATAGTTACGTAAGCATTATTTACTTGTATGCTAAGCATGCCCTTGCTATGTCCCTTGGAAAGAGAAACCTAATATGGAAAAAAGGAACCAAGAAAAAAGAAATGGACGGTCCATCTCCATATTAACATAAACAGTATCGGGTAAGAGATCAAATACATAAGCTGGATATATGTCCAGAAATGAATTATACCAACATTTCCCTATAAATTTATGAGGCTGGCCAAATTACGAGGAAATACAACAAAATATTGGCATGAAGTCAAGTCAATTACGTAAGGCGACTAAGTAATAACATAAAATGGTTTTATTGTTATTATGGTGCTATTTCCATTGAAAAGGAGACAAATCAGCCAGGTTATGATGGACAGAGTCGAAAAATGTGGCGAAAAAACTGAACTGAACTCTCCATCCAGCTCTAGCTGTAGGTGTAGCTTCTATTAAGGTAGTAATTTATAATCTTGGTATCTATCTAAATATAAGTATATTTTATAACTCAAAGGTGACTGATTGACTGACATAGTGATCTATCAAGGATTGGGCTGAAATTTGGCATGCAGGTAGGTAGATGTTATGACGTGGATGCCTAAGAAATAATTTTACGAAACTCCACCCCTAAGGAGGTAAAACGGGATCCACGCGTACGAAGTAGTGTCACTGACTGACTCACTAATCACGAAATTTCAGAAACTACAAGTGCTAGGAGTCTCAAATTTTGCATGGGGGTTCCTTTTAGAACGTAGGTGCTCACTAAGACGGGATTTTGAAAAATTCAACCCCTAAGGTAAATCGGGGTCCACGCATATTACGAAGTCGCGGGTGGCCGCTAGTAAATAAATGTATGAGTAACTCAATTGATGTTGGACGGTTGTGGTAACTGAAGAGTGTCTCATAGGACCTTTAATAAGAAACAACACTCAAGTATCAATATATATTAAAAGGTAGATTCAATCCTGTAAATATTGTAATTCAGCCAATCACTGGCTTCAATCGCTTACGTTTTTTTTTATGTGACAGGAGGCAAACGAGCAAACGGATCACCTGATGGTAAGTGATTACCGTCGCCCACAGACACCCGCAGACCCAGGGGCGTTACAGGTGCGTTGCCGGCCTTTAAGGTGAAGATACGCTCTCCTCTTGAAAGCTTGCAGGTCGTATCCGTCAAGAAACACCGCAAACGACAGGTTTAGAACATGCTATTGTTTAAGCACGTTTTTTACTTATTAAACGCACAGAATAATAATGTACTCTCAAAGTCTATAAACTAAGGCCACAGATAATAATAGTAGTGTAAGGCCCAGTTTCTGAATTGAGATAATATCCAGCTTGAGTAAGATCAACTTCTTCTCAAGTATGAATTTAATACGATTATGAAAAGTTCATAAAACTAGTAAGTAAACTGATAAAGTTCACACGACAGAAGAACAACCCTATAAATATTTAGTTTTCTGTCCCTTCAGCATCAAGTTCTCGGTAATAAAACATAAATACATTACTCAATACGATCAACAATTCAGCAAACATGATTCTGTTGACACGACCGACATAACCTATGAAGTTATTGGTATGAGCCCGGTTTGTGGCCGAGTTATTGATCTGGACAATATCTTCTGTATATAAAATATTTTCGTCTTTTCGATGCATAAGTAATGTTTCGTACGCTGTAGAGTTCGCCAATATCGTTGTTATAGCAATATCTGGTGGAAAACTTATTTATTACAATACTGTTAATAAACTTGGTGTCAATTAAGCTAAAGGAATAATAAACTGTGAAAGTTAGTCTAGGCGCAGACCACCGACTTTTAGTTGGCCGATAATGAGGGCTATCGTTTTTATACTTAACAGTTGGCACCCCTGGCGATTGACAGGACCTTACTCTACAGTGGCGCCATCTTGATGAGTGCAAATGCGATAATCCTCCTACCACTTTAGCGCTCACAAGTTGGCGCCACTGTCTTCGCTACTAGCAAGTGACAGGACCTTAATACAGTGGCGCTAACTGGTGAGCGCTAAAACGATAGCCCTCATTGGATCGGGCTGTTGAGCAGTATGGAGATGTATAATTTGTACGATTTAGAATCGGACGATTCTCCATTCAAATTAGGATCGGGCCCAACTATCGCCCAATTAAAAGTCGGTGGTCTGCGCCTAAGCTTAAAATGATGACAAGCTTGCAAATAAACAGCTTTCGGTTTCAATAGTGTGATTGCTCTAAAACTGCGATCTACAGCTTGACCGCAAATTATAACTAACTAATAAAGATTGAGTAGATCCGTGATACTCACTATCTAGGATACGTACGTACCCCTAATTTAACCAAAAGAATAAAAAATATTAGGAGAAAATGTCAAAAACCGTCTCTATGGTGATCCAGAAACAACACTTAATTCTGGAAAAAAAATTGCTGTACCTATCCCTGATAATAACTATTAATAATTATCAAAATTATCTCACTTTACCTGAACTAAAATGGTATTCTCATAAAAGTTATTCTGAAAGTTAAAAAGCTTTCCCTTAGAGCTTAGATACTCTAGAGCTTAAGTTACGAAGAACAGAATAAAGAAACACTGTATACATGTATTACACCAGGGAATAAATTACAAACCGAATAACGTTCTGGGCTGTATGGATACGAACGTATTACGATCTTCATTTCGTCCGAAAAAAACACGATTTTGAATAAAAGCAGCATTATCATACCAATATCAGTAAGAAAACAAGACGAATTAAATGAACATTCTACCTCAGGTAAGCCAGGAGTCGGAATAGAATGGAAAACAGGGATAACGGGAATAAGGAGAAAGTAATGTGTCGACAGGTCCCGTTGGATTTATCGTGCCAGGGGACTTTTAACGTAAAAACACACGATTTTATTTTCCACGTGCTTCCAGAACTAACGGGGATGCAGAAGACCCGGGCTTAAAAAAATCTTTTCTTTCTTATTCGGCTTTTGGAAGGTTGATTTGACTGCATTTTCACCTTAGGTTCAGTCTACCTACATAGTACTCGGTGGGAACACTACATATTACCTACTCAGTTCAAAAGTGAAAAGTTTAGAATAAGGACAACTTAAGGAATACCACTTTAGTAGCTACGCAAACACAAAAGATTTAATTGCAGGTCCAATGACAGTTTAACTTGCCCCCGCGACAAACCTCGCCTTCAATGGTTGGGTTTTTATTAGCGACCAAACTGTAGAGTCTGCAGTTTGGACTGTAGATCCTGACTACTCAGGAGTTACAGCGGTAGGAACTAGAGGTGGGAATAGTCCCGAACACCAGAGCTGCCGCTGCCAAACATTTCTAGAAAGTAGTATCATCTTACTGTGGCACAGGTAACTAATACATATTTTCAGTAAAAAACTTAAGGGCGGAGAGTTGAAAAAAGGTAGGAAACAAAAAGGGTACAGACAGAGGGAAGAGTCTACTGTAATACAATTTTCTTGTGACCGGAGTAATAAGATGTGTGAGTTTTACAACGTATTACGGCGACATGATCGAAATTTTACAATACAATAACGTGGATCTTAACGTGACATTACGTCGATATTGAGTGGATTTGTATTTTGTTGTTGGTTCGTCTCGGCTCATGAATTTCTACATGAAGTAAAGAACTGTCTGTAGTATAACTTTGGTCCTTAGGGGGATATAAAAACAATCATTTATTTCAGACTTTCATCCATTGTTTGTTAATATGCTCCCTGTCAATTTTGATGGGTTTGTTCATCTACGGAACCAACTATACCTGTTACCAACCGGGCGATGTGGAAATCATTGGAGGAGGCCTATGTTCATCAGTGGACGTCCTGTGGCTGAAATGATGATGATGACGAACTATGATTGCGGTGTCTATACCCGCTGGGAACAAATATTTAATACTAGCTTTCCGCCCGCGGCTTCGCCCGCGTGGAATTTTGTCTATCACAGAAAAACAATATCGCGCGCGTATTTGCTCACCGTTTAGACCTACCCTGGACTACGACAAACATTTTAAAACCAAAATCAGCTCAATCGGCCCAGCCGTTCTCGAGTTTTAATCAGACTAACGAACATCAATTCATTTTTATTTATATAGATTTTATCATACCTACTATCAACACTGTGCTAGAGTCTGGTAATGTGTAAATTTTAAAATTTACATTCAAAACCAATTGAGAAAAAAATATTTTTTGCTAGGTTGATGTGTTGGCGATTGCGATCATTTTTTCGTTTATAGAGTTTGTACTACAAAAGTGTATTTGCACGAAATTTTCGCGTATTTCGTTGTTTCGACGAAACAAAGAATGTGTAAGGGTATTTCGTTTTGGTCAAACAACGCGAGTATTAAAGCAAATATGAAATGAAATTTACAAAATTTGCTAATAAACATTTCAGAAAGTGGCGGATTAAAAACAACGTCCCGAGCGAATTTACAATGCCATAGACAAAATAACTGTCGAGTAATTTTGAACCGCATCCTACAGTACAATTACACTTTTATTATTTGCTAGCTTTCCGCCCGCGGCTTCGCCCGCGTGGAATTTTGTCTGTCACAGAAAAACTTTATCGCGTGCGTCCCTGTTTCGAAAACCGAGATAAAAACTATCCTATGTCCTTTCCCGGGACTGAAACTATCTTTATGCCAAATTTCATCAAAATCGGTTCAGTGGTTTAGACGTGAAAGCAAGACAGACAGACAGACAGAGTTACTTTCGCATTTATAATATTATAGTATAGATATAGATTTCCGCATAGTTTACTGCAGTCTGTAGGAATACATATAATTAGGTGCGAGACAAACTGTGCTTAACTGAGAGATTGCTCACTAAATTAATATGGCACTAAGTAATAAATAACGATTAAAGGTGAGATAAGATGTGCCGCGCGTTCCGCGAAAAATTCGTTGACTTCATGAATAGGGTTGATGACTGGGTAATGAAATCTAATTTCTATTTAGTCCTTCAGACAGATAATAAAAAAATTTTGGACAAATTTTTTTTTCATAATCGAATAATTACAGTATTATATTGAGTTGAAATGTCGCGTGACGTCACTTTTGAGTAAAAAATGCACTTAAGCGTGACGTAACGCGCCATTTCCACTCGATGTAGCACTGTTATTATTTAATTATGAAAGAAAATAAAAAATATGAGTCCAATATTTTCTGACGGACAAATAATTGAAATTTGATCATCTAGCCTATTCTAGCTTCTAAGAAGAGTAACAAAGTCCCCAGCATCTAAACAATACTTAAAAACTGTGGGTAATTCTGACCCAATCGCCACGAAGCGTGTAATCGCGGCGTGAGGAGAATATACTTTTGTTACCATTGGGCCGCGGCCACACTCGCCCCGGTTCTGTCATTCTGACGTGCGTGACGTGAGATAAAGACGGCACGAGAGGCGATACAAATTACGTCTGACCCTTGTCACGGTGGCAGCCCGTCATCAATATACCCTACGCCTTACAATTTTGAAGGTGTATTTTGAAATTTAATATTGTTTATTTTTTGGCTTTTGTCTGAAATGGGATATGTAAAAGTAAAAAGTCTAGGTCTTTGTTATAGAAAAACTGAGCTATTAGCAGATTTTTAAAGGTTAAATCGTTTTTTTTTTTCAGCCTATGAAAGTCTCCTGATCGTAAGCCTATGCGCAGACCTTCGATTTTTAATCGGCGGATAGTTGGACCAGATTTTAATTTGTATGAAAATCAAATCGGTGTAATGTGCGCACTTCTATACATGCCCATACTGATCAACTGCCCGACTAAACTATCGGCCGACGAAAAATCGATGGTCTGCGCCTAGGCTAAGGGTTACGTAGTAACTTATTAGTAATCTAGACTATGGTAAGGGGACCAAGGAGTTCTACAAATTATGATTACCCGTTTTCATCATCTAGGTGCTGTCAGCTATTTTCATGAGGCCGTTGGTCCAATAAACTAGTTAAGGATAATATAAAATATCAGCACAGGACTTCGACAGGATGTTTTCTATGTATAATAATAATTACTATGTACTAGAACGTTTGTATTACCAAAATATGATTTAGTACCTACTAAACAACACGGAAAGGTCAAATTCGCGAAATTCGAGGGTAGATGTAGATGGATTTTGTTAACTAATTCTTTTTCTTTTCCCGCTCTTTGTATTCCGATTTCATTTGGCCAGTTCGCATTCCCATGCGAATAACGTCAATCTTCATCAAACGGTATTGATTTATTGACTTAAGTCGACTTTATTGGCGGCCAAAGGAGAGGTCAGACTGACTCCTGTCAGAAACAAAGTATCATGACCATAACCATAAATTTTCCACCACTAATAAGTCATGTAATTATTTTTAAATATCACATATTAGACAATATTCTTGGTAAAGATCAAGACTACTAGCAGGCCTGTTCATCTCCGCGAGTTTACATCGAAAACAAAACACGTACGATGGCCCACCTACAGGATACTATTCGACAAGGCCTCACATACGAGCGAACATTGACTCACGCACGCGTATTCTTGTGTATGATGGAAGAAAATAAAGAAAATGGTGTACTAAATACTGTGCAGTATTTAACTGCCTAAATAATAATAAAAACACAGAATGTACTTTATTAAGTTGCCTCAAGACACTGAGAGGTAAATAAGTAGTTAATATTATTCATGATAATTCATGCTAAATCATGTATTTCTTCCGCCATTTTCCGCAGTTGGGCACCTCACGTCACATCATTTTACCGAAGTCAGCCCTATAGCTTCGGCGCAGTGCCGATCACTGACGTTTGTCAACAAAATGGTGCTTGACTCTTGAGACAGGCTAAATTACACCATATTGTTAATAACATTGAGCATAATTTTTTTTAAATACCTTCGCGACGTAAAACTTCTGTACGTACCTATTATTATTCTGTGCTACTAGTCAGATTTTATAACATCTGACAACAAAGCTGGCTAACTACGATATTACCCACTTATCTACCAATGTGTTCAAATGGTAGAGCCATATCCCAGTATTTATTAATAGGTAACTCATGAATGCCAAAAAAAAATATTTCTGAACGTCTGTTGGAATTTACACGCATCTCATCATATTCTATGCGTCATCAGGATGCCTTTTCACCGAAATTGAGTTTCACGCGGAATTTACCACAAGCCGTCTCCAATGCGTGCCTCGATGACGCCCACTTGATTCGTTAGCACATTTCGTGTTTGCTACTTGCGAATTCCAAAGTTTCGGGCACATGCCAGGTTTTCCGAATTTTAACAGGTGTAAGAAGTTTGCGAGAACTTTCTTGCAAATTTAATCATGTTGACGAGCTCTTGGGCTCGTGTATGTCGATGCACGTTTTCCGAGTACAAGTTTACTAAATAAATTGGTATAGATATGGAACGTGATTTCTACGTTTATTACCAAGTGAAATGGTATGAGTACGGAACGTGATTTCTAATTTTACTCGCCAATTACTGCGGTCTCACTCATGTCGATTTTGGATATCAATAAAATGAAGTAAATGATAATAACTTTTTTCTGAAAAGTGTGTAAGTACCTACTTAATAACTTCATAATTACAAACTTTAATAAAGTTATATTCGCAGTTAAAACAACTTGGGGTAATTACCTGCTTTCATTCTAATATACTGTAAAAAATACAGGGTGTTACTTTGCATTCTTGCCATATTTACAGAGCTTACTATATTACTGATACTGAACACAAATCCGTAAAAAAATAATGCCCGAAAAATTTTTTTTTTAATCTTGAGTATTTTATTTTATCGACAATCTGTTAAACACATCACTAATTATCGTAACGCATGCACATCACTTGTTGGCGATGGCGATGAAGACTTTTTTACTTTTTATTGTATTTTTAAATATCTATTGCAATCTATTGTCTTTAAAATGTCTTTTTGACACTTGTAAAAAACTGAGAAATTCATCAATCACAAATCACGTTATAAATAATACAAAAATGTCTGAAGTGTATTCAAACAAAGAATAATTTAATCAAAATGGTGCTTGGAGTGTCTGCAAGACGTCTTAGACGAAATGCTTGATGACGTACCCTTAGCGTTACACCAAATGCTCTACTACCAGCAAGATGGTGCTCCCCCACAATAAGGACGTCAAGTGCGCGAATAATTACGTTTGGTGAACAGTGGATTGGACGAGTGGTCCAGTAGCTTGGCCACCACGATCCTCGGACCTGACACCAATGGATTTTTGGAGTGACTTGAAACGACTGGTATGCGCAGAAGAGATAAACAGTGTAAACGCTACATTATTACATGAAAGGATTGTTTTAGTGAAACTGTGAGACAAAACGTTTATGTGTTGCGAAAACTAAAGCGAAAAACCTACGCTTCGCCGTGCTAGACTGTGCCTTCATCAGAAAGGAGGACACTTTGAACACTTGCTTCGCAGTACGTAAACTTTGTAAGTAGGAACTTATGAATAAATAATTAATTGTGAATAAGGTGATTTCATTTCATACTTAATTTATTAATTTGTAAAAATAGGGTACAATGTTAAAATTAATTAAAACCCTAATAATTATTACGTATTTTTGATGGTCCTGTGCCCGTAAAGTAGAAAGGAAAATCTGAAATCAACTGAAGAGTATTTTAAAATAATTAAGTATTATGACTGGATAAAAAGGCTGGTACCCAGAGCCATAAAATTAAGAACTAGGCCACGCCCACTAGGTTTATTCCACTTGCACCTGTAGAACGTGCGAGACAAAATGGGTTTATTCCAATTTGTACTGAAAAACCAAATTTACTAAAATCTTAGTGTACTTTCTTTATGGGAGTCTCTTGTTTATCTTAAATAATAGGTATTGTTCCCTACTTTTATCTCTGTGAATATGGCAAGAATGCAAAGTAACACGGTGTATATTGTTATCGAATAATAAAGAAGAAAAAACTCCAGAACAATGTTACATAGCAGCTTTGTACTACTCCATCGTAATTTCTTGATAATTCAGACCTCCCATTGTCTTTATATTCCCAGTTGAGTATTGGACTGCCACTAGGACAGATGTTATCTACATTTGTACATGATTACATTCAACGCGTTTTATTCTAAAAAAAAAATTTACACAATATGACGCCCACTCTGACCTTTAGTGCCCAAATCCAGTTGTAAGTCTCAATTCCAGCCCCAGAAAAAGTCAACGGATAAATCTACATTTTGTATGAAATATGACACAGTTCAGTTCTCGAGATACCCTGCGCGGGCACAATTCAACGCTTATGTTACTTGAAATAAGTCAAGCTGAATATTAACTTGAGAGAAGGTTCCGTAGATAAGTTATTTACTTATTTAAGAAATAAAAAAGTGCGTGTAATTATTTATTTTTACAATTTAGTCAAAGCCTGGACGATCAGCAAATGACTGGAAATAAAAAATATAGCTACAAAGCGTTTAAACTGTGGACGGAAAATCTGTGCATGCCGTTCAGCAGTTGTTTCCAATCAGTCGGAGCTTACTCTACCAGTTCTGAACTCTCTAAACTGCCTGTACGTTTTTTTAGTAAAGAATATCAAGCCGTTCCATAATAACGTAAAAAAAACAAACATAATGTAACTCATTAGTAAACGTCGCGTTAATACCCGTGTCTTCCTATTTTAATCAAGCCGGTCCTCCTTATGTTACACTAAATAATTATATGCTTGGGATTAACCTAACAGTCCAGCTGCACGGGATTCGACTTTGAATCAGCGTACCTTGAATCTCAAGCCAGTCCGACACCTTCACCGTTGAGCTATCGTGGCTATAGTTGTTGTACCTACTTATTTTCTCCTTTAAAAAAACTGTTGCGGAACCCTAATATAGACGCTCAGAGGGTCAACTGGTACAAGATCCAGATTTATAGACTCCGTTTGGCACGAGGACTGTGTCTTTGTCCGCCATGAAAGATTTATCTGACTAAATAATATCTCA